CCGTATATGAGGGGGGATGGGTGTATGGGCTGATTAGATCACAGCTCGTTATATGAGGAACTAGATGGGGTAGGACTCAGGAAGATCACACTCCGTATATATGAGGGGAAAATGGCTGGTGTAGGGTCTGTCTTGATAAGATCCACAGCTCCGATATGAGGGAAAAATCGGATGGGTGTTGTTTGTAGGATCAGAATCACAGCTCCGTATATGAGGGAACTAGATGGGTTTTTAGGGTCTGATCAGATCAACAGCTCCGTATATGAGGGATAGAGGGTGTTTATGTTGGTGATCAGATCACAAGCTCGTTATGAGGGAACTAGATGGTTTGGGTAGGATCAGAGCACAGCTCCGTCTATGAGGGAACTGGATGGGTGGTGTTGTAGGATCAGATCACAGCTCCGTATATGATTTTTTGGGAACAGGAAGGGGTTTAGGTCTGATTAGATCACAGCTCCGTATATGAGGAACTAGATAGGTGAGGGTCTGATCAGCTCACAGCCTCGTATATGAGGGAACAGGATGGGTGTAGGGTATGATCAGATCACAGCTCCGTATATGAGGAACTAGATGGGTGATGATCGATCACAGCTCCGTATATGAGGGCATGGAAGGGTTGTGTGTAGGCATTCTGATCAGATCAAAGCTCCGTATATGGGGAACTAGATGGGTTTAGGGTCTGATCAGATAACAGCTCCGATATGAGGAACTAGAGGGTGTTAGTTCTGATCCTCATTAAGATATTACTACACCTATCCGATTATTGGATATTTGGCCGTCAGTCCATGCCCGTTGCTAAGCAACTGATGATTCCCGTTGCTAAGCAACTGATTGATGCCCATTGCCTAAGCAAACTGATGATGCCGTTGCCTAGCAAATGATGAGGCTGTTGCCTAAGGCAACTGATTGATGGCCCGTTTGCCTTAGCAACTGATGATGCCCGGCCGTAGCAACTGATGAGGCCCGTTGCCTAAGCAACTGAGATGCCCGTTGCCTAAGCAACTGATGATGCCCGTTTTGCTAAGCAACTGATGATGCCCGTTGCATAAGCCATTGGATGTTCACTAAGGATAAGGGACTTTCTCCTCTGGTCCAGGGTTAGGAAGAATTGAAGTCATTGATTACTCCACCCTTCATGGTTTTCGCACCTCCTGGCCCTCACAAAACTCTTTTATAGGTAGGTGAAGCAGTGTATAACCCTTCATAACCTCACCAACCTCTTTATAGGTCGTGTGATCGTGTAGAAAACATTCATAACCTTCACCAACTCTTAAGTAGGTGATATGTGTTAAAAACCTCATAACTTCACCAAACTCTTTATAAGGGGTAGGTGATCATGTTATAACCCTTCATTAGCACCTTCACAAACTCTTTATAAGGTAGGTGAATCATGGTTTATAAAACCCTCATAACTTCACCACAATCTTTCTAAGGTAGGAGAGGTCATGTGCTATAAAACCCTTAATAACTTCACCAAACTCTTTAGAAGGTAGGTGATCATGTGCTATAACCCTCAAACATTCACCAAACTCTTTATAAGGTCGGGATCATGTGCTATAACCCTTCATAACCTTCACCAAATCTTTAGTAAGGTAGGTGGGTCATGTGGTATAACCCGTCAACATGTACCACACCTTCATAAGGTAGGTAATAACCCTTCATAAGGTACAGTAGGTGCCTGGGTGTTTCATAATTAAATGATGGTGGACAATTAAAGATGAGGTATCTAACTATCAGATCATCCCTAAATGTCTTCGCTTTCCTTGTTTCGGATAAAAGTTCAGCCAGAAGATCCAGTTTGTGTTCAACTTGACAGACCTTCTAACTGGTCCCTATGGAATATGTCTCTATACCAGACTGCAGTAAAGAGTAAAGTCTATGGAATTGTCTCATACCAGATGATAAAGATAAGTCTATATGGAAATATCTCTCTATACCAGATGCATTAAAGAGTAAGTCTATGGAGGATATCTGTAGTGGCCAATTCCCTTTGAAAAGCGACTGGCACAGGAGAGGCCGTCCCGTATAACGGCGTCACAGGAGAGAGCCGTCCCGTAACGCGTCCATCCACAGAGAGAGCCGTCCGTAACGCGTCCACAGGGAGAGAGCCGGCCGTAACGCGTCCCAGGAGAGAGCCGTCAGTAACGCGTCCAACAGGAGAGACCGTCCGTAACGCGTCACAGGAGGAGCCGTCGTTAACGCGTACACAGAAATCAGCTTTCCAACATTACTCTATTCGGGTGAAGGTTTATTTTGGGGTGAAGTTCTCCTTTATTGCTCTATAAAATATAAATACTCCAATACACCTATATTCCTATAGAAAAGGTGCCAGAGAGAAGATGCATTCTATAAGCTGTAGCTGTGTGAGCCGGTAGAACTGTAATCGCTCTCAGCAGTGCTTAACACTTCCTGGTGGACCCATGACCCCAACATGTACTGCCCTCTAGTGTGCAAAAAAAAAGTCAAATACACCCTTGACAGAACAACTATTACCCATAGACCAGTTACTATGTTACCCAGTAGACCAGTTACTATGTTACCCAGTAGACCAGTTACTATGTTACCCAGTAGACCAGTTACTATGTTACCCAGTAGACCAGTTACTATGTTACCCAGTAGACCAGTTACTATGGTACCCAGTAGACCAGTTACTATGTTACCCAGTAGACCAGTTACTATGGTACCCAGTAGACCAGTTACTATGTTACCCAGTAGACCAGTTACTATGTTACCCAGTAGACCAGTTACTATGTTACCCAGTAGACCAGTTACCCAGTAGACCAGTTACTATGTTACCCAGTAGACCAGTTACTATGTTACCCAGTAGACCAGTTACTATGTTACCCAGTAGACCAGTTACTATGTTACCCAGTAGACCAGTTACTATGTTACCCAGTAGACCAGTTACTATGTTACCCAGTAGACCAGTTACTATGTTACCCAGTAGACCAGTTACTCAGTAGACCAGTTACTATGTTACCCAGTAGACCAGTTACTATGTTACCCAGTAGACCAGTTACTATGGTACCCAGTAGACCAGTTACTATGTTACCCTGTTTCCCAGTAGACCAGTGACTCTGTTCCCTGTAGACTTGGAAACCAGATCCAAATCATTTCTACACGCTTCTCAAATCAACCCTAGAACACGCATCTCAAATCAACCCTAGAACACGCATCTCAAATCAACCCTAGAACACGCATCTCAAATCAACCCTAGAACACGCATCTCAAATCAACCCTAGAACACGCATCTCAAATCAACCCTAGAACACGCATTTCAAATTATCATTTCACACTTCTTCATGGTCCCTCGTTGATATGAGGGAACTGGATGGGTTTAGGGTCTGATCAGATCACAGCTCCGTATATGAGGGAACTAGATGGGTGTAGGATCAGATCACAGCTCCGTATATGAGGGAACAGGATGGGTTTAGGGTCTGATCAGATCACAGCTCCGTATATGAGGGAACTAGATGGGTGTAGGATCAGATCACAGCTCCGTATATGAGGGAACAGGGTGGGTGTAGGGTCTGATCAGATCACAGCTCCGTATATGAGGGAACTGGATGGGTGTAGGGTCTGATCAGATCACAGCTCCGTATATGAGGGAACTAGATGGGTGTAGGGTCTAATCAGATCACAGCTCCGTATATGAGGGAACTGGATGGGTGTAGGGTCTGATCAGATCACAGCTCCGTATATGAGGGAACTAGATGGGTGTAGGATCAGATCACAGCTCCGTATATGAGGGAACTAGATGGGTTTAGGGTCTGATCAGATCACAGCTCCGTAAATGAGGGAACAGGATGGGTGTAGGGTCTGATCAGATCACAGCTCCGTATATGAGGGAACAGGATGGGTTTAGGGTCTGATCAGATCACAGCTCCGTATATGAGGGAACTGGATGGGTGTATGGTCTGATCAGATCACAGCTCCGTATATGAGGGAACTGGATGGGTGTATGGTCTGATCAGATCACAGCTCCGTATATGAGGGAACTAGATGGGTGTAGGATCAGATCACAGCTCCGTATATGAGGGAACTGGATGGGTGTAGGGTCTGATCAGATCACAGCTCCGTATATGAGGGAACTAGATGGGTGTAGGATCAGATCACAGCTCCGTATATGAGGGAACTAGATGGGTTTAGGGTCTGATCAGATCACAGCTCCGTATATGAGGGAACTAGATGGGTGTAGGATCAGATCACAGCTCCGTATATGAGGGAACTAGATGGGTTTAGGGTCTGATCAGATCACAGCTCCGTATATGAGGGAACTGGATGGGTGTAGGATCAGATCACAGCTCCGTATATGAGGGAACAGGATGGGTTTAGGGTCTGATCAGATCACAGCTCCGTATATGAGGGAACTAGATAGGTGTAGGGTCTGATCAGATCACAGCTCCGTATATGAGGGAACAGGATGGGTGTAGGGTCTGATCAGATCACAGCTCCGTATATGAGGGAACTAGATGGGTGTAGGATCAGATCACAGCTCCGTATATGAGGGAACTGGATGGGTGTAGGGTCTGATCAGATCACAGCTCCGTATATGAGGGAACTAGATGGGTTTAGGGTCTGATCAGATCACAGCTCCGTATATGAGGGAACTAGATGGGTGTATGGTCTGATCATCATTAAGATATTACTTACACCTATCCGATTATTGGATATTTGGCATTCAGTCCATGCCCGTTGCCTAAGCAACTGATGATTCCCGTTGCCTAAGCAACTGATGATGCCCATTGCCTAAGCAACTGATGATGCCCGTTGCCTAAGCAACTGATGATGCCTGTTGCCTAAGCAACTGATGATGCCCGTTGCCTTAGCAACTGATGATGCCCGTTGCCTTAGCAACTGATGATGCCCGTTGCCTAAGCAACTGATGATGCCCGTTGCCTAAGCAACTGATGATGCCCGTTGCCTAAGCAACTGATGATGCCCGTTGCCTAAGCCATTGGATGTTCACTAAGGATAAGGCCTTTCTCCTCTGTTCCAGGTTAAGGAAGAATTTGAAGTCATTGATTATCGTCCACCCTTCCTGGTTTATCCGCACCCTCCTGGCCCTCACCAAACTCTTTATAAGGTAGGTGATCATGTGCTATAACCCTTCATAACCTTCACCAAACTCTTTATAAGGTAGGTGATCATGTGTTATAACCCTTCATAACCTTCACCAAACTCTTTAAGGTAGGTGATCATGTGTTATAACCCTTCATAACCTTCACCAAACTCTTTATAAGGTAGGTGATCATGTTATAACCCTTCATAACCTTCACCAAACTCTTTATAAGGTAGGTGATCATGTGTTATAACCCTTCATAACCTTCACCAAACTCTTTATAAGGTAGGAGATCATGTGCTATAACCCTTCATAACCTTCACCAAACTCTTTATAAGGTAGGTGATCATGTGCTATAACCCTTCATAACCTTCACCAAACTCTTTATAAGGTAGGTGATCATGTGCTATAACCCTTCATAACCTTCACCAAACTCTTTATAAGGTAGGTGGTCATGTGTTATAACCCTTCATACATGTCACCAAACCCTTCATAAGGTAGGTAATAACCCTTCATAAGGTACAGTAGGTGCCTGGGTGTTTTCATAATTAAGATGATGGACAATTAAGATGAGGTATCTAACCTATCAGATCATTCCCTAAATGTCTTCTGCTTTCCTTGTTTCAGCTCAAAGTTCAGCCAGAAGATCCAGTTTGTGTTCAACTTGACAGACCTTTCTGAACTGGTCCCTATGGAATATGTCTCTATACCAGACTGCATTAAAGAGTAAGTCTATGGAATATGTCTCTATACCAGACTGCATTAAAGAGTAAGTCTATGGAATATATCTCTATACCAGACTGCATTAAAGAGTAAGTCTATGGAGGATATCTGTAGTGGCAATTCCCTTTGAAAAGCGACTGGCACAGGAGAGAGCCGTCCGTAACGCGTCCACAGGAGAGAGCCGTCCGTAACGCGTCCACAGGAGAGAGCCGTCCGTAACGCGTCCACAGGAGAGAGCCGTCCGTAACGCGTCCACAGGAGAGAGCCGTCCGTAACGCGTCCACAGGAGAGAGCCGTCCGTAACGCGTCCACAGGAGAGAGCCGTCCGTAACGCGTCCACAGAAATCAGCTTTCCAAACATTACTCTATTCGGGTGAAGGTTTATTTTTGGGTGAAGTTCTCATTTATTGCTCCTATAAAATATAAATAGCTCCAATACACATATTCCTATAGAAAAGGTGCAGAGAGATGCATTCTATAAGCTGTATCTGTGATACGGTAAGAACTGTATCCTCTCAGCAGTGCTAACCACTTCCTGGTGACCCATGACCCCAACATGTACTGCCCTCTAGTGTGCAAAAAAAAGTTCAAATAACCCTTGACAGACAACCTATACACAACTCACAAACAGCCGGAACGGCTCCTACAATATCTCTATACCAGACTGCATTAAAAAGTAAGTATATTTAGTATATCTCTATACCAGACTACATTAAAGAGTAAATCTATGTGATCGATGATTTTCATTCCATAGGAGGGGGGACCTAGAAACAGTTGGAGACAAACATTCCATAGGAGGGGGGACCTAGAAACGGTTGGAGACAAACATTCCATAGGAGGGGGGACCTAGAAACGGTTGGAGACAAACATTCCATAGGAGGGGGGACCTAGAAACGGTTGGAGACAAACATTCCATAGGAGGGGGGACCTAGAAACGGTTGGAGACAAACATTCCATAGGAGGGGGGACCTAGAAACGGTTGGAGACAAACATTCCATAGGAGGGGGGACCTAGAAACGGTTGGAGACAAACATTCCATAGGAGGGGGGACCTAGAAACGGTTGGAGACAAACATTCCATAGGAGGGGGGACCTAGAAACGGTTGGAGACAAACATTCCATAGGAGGGGGGACCTAGAAACGGTTGGAGACAAACATTCCATAGGAGGGGGGACCTAGAAACGGTTGGAAACAAACATTCCATAGGAGGGGGGACCTAGAAACGGTTGGAGACAAACATTCCATAGGAGGGGGGACCTAGAAACGGTTGGAGACAAACATTCCATAGGAGGGGGGACCTAGAAACGGTTGGAGACAAACATTCCATAGGAGGGGGGACCTAGAAACGGTTGGAGACAAACATTCCATAGGAGGGGGGACCTAGAAACGGTTGGAGACAAACATTCCATAGGAGGGGGGACCTAGAAACGGTTGGAGACAAACATTCCATAGGAGGGGGGACCTAGAAACGGTTGGAGACAAACATTCCATAGGAGGGGGGACCTAGAAACGGTTGGAGACAAACATTCCATAGGAGGGGGGACCTAGAAACGGTTGGAGACAAACATTCCATAGGAGGGGGGACCTAGAAACTGCTAAACTTAAACATTCTATACGGTGGAAAGTTACAGGCTGCCTAAAGGTGGGCGGAGCAAAGTCCTTTGTGTGGACGCATGTAAAAAGACTGTGTGTTTTTTTAGCGGGAAAATTGGGAATTTGTTTAATTCTTCGTTAACCAGAGCCTTACAACCTCTGGGAATTATTCAAAGCTTAAGTGATAGTTGAGTTCAACCACTGAGATAACAAAATTCTTGTGACACTATGGAGTATATCTCTATACCAGACTGCATTAAAGAGTATGTCTATGGAGTATACAGTGAGGGAAAAAAGTATTTGATCCCCTGCTGATTTTGTACGTTTGCCCACTGACAAAGAAATGATCAGTCTATAATTTTAATGGTAGGTTTATTAATTTATCACTTTTTTTTTTATTCTTTTTTTTTTTAGGGGGGGGGGGGGGGGGGGGTGGATCAGCTTGATATTGCAGATAGATTGTAACTTCCATCAATGTAATTGTCTGCATCACTTCCAATCCCCCATGTTTTTATATATTTATTTATTTATATATATATTTATATATATATATATATATATATATATATACATATCCTTAAAAAAAAAAAATCTTTCCAACCCCACCAACCTTTCCCTAATTGGAGTAAACTAGTGAACAACAACGCTTAGGCTTCTACTTCCAGCTTATACATACTATATACATTTTATGGACACAGTCAATTTGACAATAATTCTATTTTGCTTGTTTTTACTCCTGAACTTCTTCTACTCTCAACCTCTCCATGTCCATCCGGTTTGCTTCTATATGCCATATCTTTCTAACTGTGCTCTTTCACAAAAGCTCACAACCTATAACCTATATACTTATAATGGGCACAGTATGCTTTACATTAGTTATCTTGTTGTTATTATTTTTTGTTAGTTGTTCTTAGTCCCATCCTTCAACTCCATTCAACACCATTCATCGTCTTGATGATGATTGACAGCCATCGTCGATAGTGACGACATCGTGATGTGACAGACAACGGTTTAGCCTATTTCAATAAATATGTTAAAGCCTATTTCAATAAATATGGTATAGCCTGGAGGCCTACGGAACACAACAGAGGAGTGTAGGCTAGCCAGACCCGTTGCTGACAGGTGTAGAGAGCAAACAGCCATGCAATCTCCATAGACAAGCATTGGCAGTAGAATGGCCTTACTGAAGAACTCAGTGACTTTCAACGTGGCACCGTCATTGGATGCCACCTTTCCAACAAGTCCGCTCGTCAAATATCTGCCCTACTAGAGCTGCCCCGGTCAACTGTAAGTGCTGTAATTGTGAAGTGGACCACCGAGTGCTGAAGCGCGTAGCCCGTAAAAATCGTCTGTCCTTCTGGTTGCAACACTCACTACCGAGTTCCAAACTGCCTCTGGAAGCAACGTCAGCACAGTTATTGTTCTTTAGGAACTTCATGAAATGGGTTTCCATGGCCGCGCAGCCACACACAAGCCTGAGATCACCATGCGCAATGCCAAGCGTCGGCCGGAGTGGTGTAAAGCTCACCGCCATTGGACTCTGGAGCAGTGGAAACGCGTTCTCTGGAGTGATGAATCATGCTTCACCATCTGGCAGTCCGACGGACTAATCTGGGTTTGGTGGATGCCAGGAAAACGCTACCTGCCCGAATGCATAGTGCCACCTGTAAAGTTTGGTGGAGGAGGAATAATGGTCTGGGGCTGTTTTTCATGGCTCAGGCTAGACACCTTAGTTCCAGTGAAGGGAAATCTTAATGCTACAGCATACAATTTTTTGTATTTTTTATTTTTATTTTATTTCACCTTTATTTAACCAGGTAAACCAGTTGAGAACAAGTTCTCATTTACAACTGCGACCTGGCCAAGATAAAGCAAAGCAGTGCGATAAAAACAACAACACAGAGTTACATATGGAGTAAAACAAAACATAAAGTCAAAAATAAAACAAAAATACATATATATACAGTGTGTGCAAATTTAGCAAGTTATGGAGGTAAGGCAATAAAATAGGCTATAGTGCAAAATAATTACAATTAGTATTAACACTGGAATGATAGATGTGCAAGAGATGATGTGCAAATAGAGATACTGGGGTACAAATGAGCAAAATAAATAACAATATGGGGATGAGGTAGTTGGGTGGGCTAATTTCAGATGGGCTGTGTACAGGTGCAGTGATCTGTAAGGTGCTCTGACAACTGATGCTTAAAGTTAGTGAGGGAGATAAGTGTCTCCAGCTTCAGAGATTTTTGCAATTTGTTCCAGTCATTGGCAGCAGAGAACTGGAAGGAATGGCGGCCAAAGGAGGTGTAGGCTTTGGGGATGACCAGTGAGATATACCCGCTGGAGCGCAGACTACGGGTGGGTGTTGCTATGGTGACCAATGAGCTAAGATAAGGCGGGGATTTGCCTAGCAGTGATTTATAGATGGCCTGGAGCCAGTGGGTTTGGCGACGAATATGTAGTGAGGACCAGCCAACAAGAGCATACAGGTCACAGTGGTGGGTATTATATGGGGCTTTGGTGACAAAACGGATGGCACTGTGATAGACTACATCCAATTTGCTGAGTAGAGTGTTGGAGGCTATTTTGTAAATGACATCGCGGAAGTCAAGGATCGGTAGGATAGTCAGTTTTACGAGGGCATGTTTGGCAGCATGAGTGAAGGAGGCTTTGTTGCGAAATAGGAAACCGATTCTAGATTTAACTTTGGATTGGATATTCTTAATGTGAGTCTGGAAGGAGAGTTTACAGTCTAACCAGACACCTAGATATTTGTAGTTGTCCACATACTCTAGGTCAGACCCATCGAGAGTAGTGATTCTAGTCGGGTGGGCGGGTGCAAGCAGCGTTCGGTTGAAGAGCATTTCGTTTTACTAGTGTTTAAGAGCAGTTGGAGGCTACTGAAGGAGTGTTGTATGGCATTGAAGCTCGTTTGGAGGTTTGTTAACACAGTGTCCAATGAAGGGCCAGATGTATACAAAATGGTGTCGTCTGCGTAGAGGTGGATCTGAGAGTCACCAGCAGCAAGAGCGACGTCATTGATATACACAGAGAAAAGAGTCGGCCCAAGAATTGAACCCTGTGGCACCCCCATAGAGACTGCCATAGGTCCAGACAACAGGCCCTCCGATTTGACACATTGAACTCTATCTGAGAAGTAGTTGGTGAACCAGGCGAGGCAGTCATTTGAGAAACCAAGGCTATTTAGTATGCCAATAAGAATGCGGTGGTTGACAGAGTCGAAAGCCTTGGCCAGGTCAATGAAAACGGCTGCACAGTACTGTCTATTATCGATCGCGGTTATAATATCGTTTAGGACCTTTGAGCGTGGCTGAAGTGCACCCATGACCAGCTCGGAAACCGGATTGCATAGCGGAGAAGGTACGGTGGGATTCGAAATGGTCGG